CATGATTGGGTATTATGAAATAATTCCGTAGTATATGTGTGAATATTTCTGAATAAATTAGTTCCGCCTAATACGTACATATTTCTAAAATATTTATGTATAATAAGAATTACCCAAATAAATCACTTACATATTCTTTTGTTAAAAGTTATTTCATGTAAATATCGCTCCCTTAACTTCACTAGATGTGTAAATGGCACAAATAATATTTTACAAAAAATTTAAGCTCAAGCAGAAATCTCTTATGATACAATTTACATCAGTATTTTATTACCTGCTAGTGACCTCTTGATATTTCTCGAGTACAAAATAAACGTATACCTTTTTTGTATTTGAGTATCATGTTAGTACCCTTTATACCAAAATACTTTATTTCTATGAAGAAACTACAATGTGAATTAAAATTGCGTTATTTTGTTGGACCTTTTTTTATTTTTTAGTACTTTTATAAGCATAATGTGAGAGATATACTATTCCAGGTTTATTTAGTCCTGATTTCAACTCCTGCTTGTTTTTTGGTGGTGTCTTTGCCTCAACTCTCGTGTTTACATGTGTTGTAGTGGGTATAGATCAAGTGATTGGGCTAACATCTATCTTTCTTCTTCTGAAGAAACTTCTTTTACAAGTTTAGAAGTCTGATTAGGGTCGTTATATTCGTGAGATATCCCTCCACGACCACAGATCTTCCTACTACATGAGATAATTCTGTTCGAACTTTGCTCGATATAGACATCGATCCATAATGTCATTTATAAAACAAGTGACCAATACCATATGTGGCCACACAGTTCCAAAACAACACTTTACTGTTACCACATTTTAAGACCAGGTTAGTGTATGCAGCAGAGACTTCGTCAACTATAAAGTATAAAAAAATAGCTCATTTTTATTTCATCATGGAAACCCTTTATACCAATAGGTTGCAGGCTTATTTACATACTATTCTACAAACTCTAACAGTTTTGTTTCTCTTCTTGTGTATTTTTTTTACAAGTAAGTAGTTTATTTCTTGCAATATATCTGATGTGGATCTTCCATGTGAATTATCCTTCATGCTACTCACATTCCCTGCCCTTCTTACGTATTTTGAATGTGACACGTCTGTCCTTCACTTCTCTCTCATAATCAGGAGGTCAACACTTTAATCTCTCATTTTTGGTCTACGAGTTCTCTTTCTGTTAATTATTATTCAAACTACCTTTGAATGTTATTCTTTGAGCGTGAAAAGAAGAACATTGTATAGTTTATAAACGGGTTTACACTACATTAACGTTTTTTTTTTATATTACAAGCTTTCAATCCTGAGATTTATTGTGGTGTAAAGTTGTTTATAGATGTTTCGGTCTCATTTTACTGTTTAAAACTTCTTTACTGTATACTGAACAGTATACGTAAAGAAGTTTACTGAACAGTGGAATTTCCCAGTTCAGAATCGTATCTTTTAAAGCTTTTCTCTCTGCTACGAGTACAATGTCAACAAACAATTTATTTTTTGTCCATGGCGGTCCACTCTTTTGGAATAAGCATTATGTGGTAGGAGTTATCTTTATACATTTTATTCAGTTGTTTACAAAGCACAGTTATCTACTAAATTCGTTTCAGTGATTTTCCTTAATAATTAAGCTATTTTCTGTTTAGTAAATATTTGATATAACGTTATAGGGACAAAATACTTTTGTGATCTTTCTTCCCTTGATTTTTAAAAATGCCCATACAATTTGAAAATTCATTGCTGGAAAAACAAACTTAAGCCATAAAAATGAGATATAGTACTATTCACTATTAGTAAAGTCGATAAATTATGTTTCTATAGTATTTTATTTGTTGTAGTGGGTACAGATATACATATTTAATGCAGAACCAAGTACTTATGTAAGTAGCTATGTCTATTTGATCTATACTCCAGTTGAATAAGCTCTTTACAACACATTGTAGTCTATCATGTAAATTATCAAAAAAAATTATACATCTGTTTTCTGATATTTCTGAAGACTATATGTTCGTGCGACATGATAACTTAGTTTTACTAATTGTTGTTAATTAATGACCAATCTAGTTTAATTATTCTAAATATAAAACAAAGTGATTTACTCAACCAACAGCATTACCTGTTATAGCCTTAAGGGAAGCACCAGCCTGTGCTGCGGTGTTTTAAAAGTTGAATAGATGGATTATTTCTGATTACTGGCATAAAAAAAAAATTGTACAACAAGAACTAAGTGACCGAAATAATGTTCAACTTTAATTGTTTCCCTTTAATCGTATTATATAGGCTAATTTATCCTTTATCAAATTCAATCATTCAGCGTTCAATATATTACACATGAGAGGCAATCACACACAGAAAATAACTACTTGATCAATGTCATGCTTTTAAAGATTGCCCAGCTAATAGAAGACGTTTCTCATGTGGTCGATATCAGTTATAGCTAGTTGAACGTTTTCTGTATTATAAGAAACACACCCACTTGCCATAAAATATTAAATAATGAAGAAACTTGTAAAGGCATTCGAATTTTTGTATGTCACTACTTCTCCTCAACATACAGCCGTTTAAAAGCTGCTACCTCCATTCATTGGCCCTCACGTTACAGTGTCTTTACTTCTCCTCAACATATAACCATTTAGAAGCTGCTACCGCCGTTCATTGGCACTCATGTTACACTGTCTTTACTTCTCCTCAACATACAACCATTTAGAAGCTGCTACCGCCGTTCATTGGCACTCATGTTACACTGTCTTTACTTCTCTTCAACATACAACCATTTAGAAGCTGCTACCGCCGTTCATTGGCCCTCACGTTACAGTGTCGTTACTTCTCCTCGACGTACAACAATTTGTAAGCTGCTACCGCCGTTCATTGGCCCTCACCATGTGTCATTATTTCTTCTCAATAAACAGCCAATTGAAAAAACTGCTAAAAGGATTCGTTCACCCTCACGTTATTGTAGATCAGTACTTTTTTTCACATGCAGTCATTTAGAAACTGTTAAAGACATTAGTTTCCTCGTTTGCCCTCACTTCATTATGTTTCACTACTTTTTCAACATACACCTGTTTATAAACTGCTAAGGGCATTATTTCGACCTCACATTAATTTAATATACTCTAGTTCTTTTGGATGTATAACCTTTTAGAAATTGCTAGATACATTTGTCTGACCCCCACGTTATTGTTTGCAACTGCGTCTTATCGAATGTTTGTTTTGAATTTCACGCAAAGCTACACAAGGGCTATCTGCGCTAGT